GCAGGGCGTCACCGACCATGGGGCCACTCGCCCCACAGTTTTACTAGCAAATGTAATATTATTATATCACGTAAAGAGTGTTTGAAATGGAGGGGAAATATTGAAAATAAATGGAAATACACGAGATTGTAATAGGATGAGAAAAAAATCATTTCTGCGTAGATATCCACTACCAGCGTTTTTGATGAGAATTGGTCGTATCTACAATCTTTTCCTGAATTCTGTCATATGTGAACTTTTCGAGATGATCTGAGATTGCTTTCTTTGTGTGTACGTCGCCATCTTATTTGCTCGTTATACTTCATCAAACGACTCGGTCCACTTCGATTACGAGCGATCGTTTGACAAGCTGCTGTCCCTTATCAGGAGTTTTCCGCATTCAACCAAACAATAGTCATTCCCGTAAAAGTTTCTGTATTGTGCTGTTGTACTAAGTGAAACATTCATCTATTCTATCCGCATGTTTCTTTTTTGGCATTCTTGGTAATGCGAAGCAAGAGATATGCCGACTTTCTTTTATGTGGACTGGTCTATCCATTGGTCGATTTATCGGCATTCCTGCCACTTAGCTTGATGACTGAGTGGTCATCTTTCGGAATCCTTGTCGTTGAGAATTTGTGACGTTCGAAAAGTATGACCATCCAGCTTGATGAAGCCGATCTATGGCGCATTCCTCAGGGTCTAATCAATGGTCGAAGCTTTGTACTTTACTCCTACCACTGAGAAGTAATGTTTGAAATTCTCTTGTCAGCAATTTGGAACTGGACTTACCTATCTAAGTAAAATAGCAAGTTAAAAAATCAGCGCTAATTTATTGAATCCCTAATGTTACGTTGATCTGATTGTGTTGCTTATTTTCTGGTGGATTAATGCGTCATTGGATGGCAAGGGATTTATTTAGAATAGGACCATGTCACTATTGGGGTCGAAAACAACGTCGTTTTGTACACGGAAAAAAGATAAATGTTCTAAAGCAGTTCAAATGTCGTCACTTTTAGTTGATGCATATTCTTTTTTCATGGAGAGATACAATGTGAAGTGTAACCACAAGAATGCTGAGATAAGAGCAAACCTTGGAGCTTCAGCAAGGCTTCGAAGCCCTTTCCTTTCAGGGGCTCACGTACTATCTACCACACCAACCGAGGTCCTTGTTTCGCATTTCTCACAGCAAATTTTTTATTCTAACCATCAGCAATGATTCGGCAACAAGAATGATCTGGTGAGCACAAATCGACGGCGAACCCAGTTCAGTTGAAGCTGTAGTCGAAATCACAATGTCTTTAATTCCACTTTTCTAGTTTGGATCAGTGCATCTCATGTTGCCTGCTTTATGGTCGCTATAGGATTCTACTAGGGAGAAAAAATGAGAATCTGAAAACTTTACTACTATGGAAAGTTTTGGTAAACACCACGGTTGCACACATCGTTGATAGTGATTAAATATGTTTATTGCCGTGATAGACGCCAACGCTTATTTGTCTAGTGATTGTCGCCTGTCAGTTTCAGTAACAAGCTAATGACTCTATGCATGCAAAAAACAACTTGTTTTAGCTCCTTATTCGCTCAGAATTAACAGTTCAAGACACTCAAGTTTAGGGTCCTCATTTCTGAGAATGTAACCCGTTTGGCTAACCAAACAAGTCACTGTCTTAGCCAATCAATCGAGAAATGAATTTTATTGCCTGATTTCACAACTTTCTTCGTGAGCAGAATTTCAATTTCTTGATGACTTATTAGGGCGTTCTTCAGGTGCCACTAGAGCTGTAGCTGTGTGTAAGTTTTGCGCGTTGCTTTCTAAGAATGGTCGGTTACTTCTCTTGCTTACTTTTGATCCGCAAGGTAAATACACTAGCCTTCGGATCTATTTCTGTTTTCCAGAGTACTTCCGTGTTATAACAGTGATGTTTTAAAGAGTTATTCGCAGTAAACGTAATGGAATCATCAACTCGGAGATGGCTTCCCATATTCAAGGAGAAGTATGCGACTTGGATTAAAAAGCAAGCATTTTTTGTTAGTATAGAACTCCTCTGGAGTTCTGCATTGGCAATGAATTTTGCTGCCTTTATATGTGTACCCAGTGAGCACTCAAGGGTGTGAGAGTTAGCATCTCCATTAACGATGACTGGAGAAAATCAGATGAGAAACGGAATTATTAACTCGTAGGAAGGGTGAAGGAAATTTTTCGAACGACTACGAAAAAATGAGGACTTTGACTGGTGGGCAAATAAACAATGTGAGCAGATCTGTCTTATCGCCAGAGGATCTTGCTTTCGAACTGAGCAACTGTAATAAAAACACATTATTGAGCGCTGTCATGTGTTCGCCTTGGATTCGTCTTAGAGACCTAGCGCAAGCAGAATTCTCTTTCCGACAGCATGTTTGCAAGTACTTCAGCTGTCACAGATAACTGGTCCATCTAGGTGCCGTGAGGCTGAAAAGGACCTCCCGAGTGTAGTTTTTCTAAAGTGAACTCTTCGTCAAGTTTCGTATTTTTTTACAGCTATCCTTCGACTTCTACTAGCTCAAATTGCAGTTAGCTGGCTGTATCTCTAAAGAAACACAATTATTGTTCAATGTCTCAACTTTTATTTGCTGCCCATTCTTCATTTACGCCAAGGTATTATGTGAAATACATTAACAAGCATGATGAGATATGAGCAAAACAAGCCTCAAGTGTGCTACGAACTCGCTATTACCCTCTTCGAAGTGTCACGTGCTGTCCACTGCCCCAGCCGAGTCTCTGGCTATGCTTTACTCTCTAATAACTACTTTTTAGTTTTATAGCATGACTTCATATTGATTACCAGCACCTTTTATTCGGTTCATCGTCCCGTACATCTCATAGACGACTATGTACATACATACGTGTGTCCCGAGTTGCGCTTTACCTTCTTCATGAACTTGGATTATAGTGTTGTTTCGTTTTGAAATACTGAGATAATTTTTGTAGAGCATTCTCATATCTTTACCAAATGCTACTTCTAGCTTTTGTGGGTTGCAGAGTGTTTCCTCAAATAAGTCTATTACTAACTTACCAACTCCAGAGATATGCGGGACACCGTTATGCTGAACAGGAATGGAACCAACGACTATGCTTGTTTAATTGCAAAGAATCTCTAAGCCCTACCCTTTTCGCGCCTCTCAGGAAATAACTAAGCACTATAAATACAACAGTGATTACATCACCATCAGAATATGGGTTAGCTGAGTTCAATGAAACGGTTCCTGACCTATCCAACTAGATTATGGTCGATCTCGTAAGTCTCTTAACTAAAAACAGAAACCGTTTTGTAAGATTGCTGAAGATTCTTGGAATAAGCTTGTTCATGAAGTCGTGTGCAAATTGTTAACTACAGTCCATTGCAGTTGTTCTTGTAATTGATCGAAATCGAGCAAGTAAAGATTGACTGACTAAGCCAACAATAAGGGAGATGCAGCTATTTCAGTTCTGTCAATTGTTTAAATATCTGTTAGGTTTTATTCTACACAAATGAAGTAGTATCATCTTGAAAAGTTGTTTATTCAGAATGAAAAATAATGGGGCTCATCCACCAAATTGCCAGCCATCGCCCTAAATAGAAGCGATTATATGATCCTCGTCTTCGGAGAAGAATGTTGACATTTTGTCTGCTTCGCGATGTCGTCGGCATTGGCCCTCTATGTCATCTTCAAGAGAGGATGTTTTCCGCATCGCGGTGCCTGAGGCGTTCGTCTAGGACAAGATTCCACTTCATCATTGTGACAAGTGGTATCAGTTTGTCTTTCATGACCGCGACAGTTGCATCGATTTACGACGAAGATTTATTTCACCTTTGCGGCCTCGGTTTTCCAGTTCAGACGATCTTCTTGTCCAAAATCCCACCTAATCACCGAAAAAGCTGATTTTTCACAAAATTCCAACACTTTTGTCTAACATTCAGTTCGCCCAACTGGTGCTGATGTATGCTAACCATACGAAGAGATTTAATACAAATCGCCCTATAGGAAGGACATTCACTCTTTTCAGATGCATTTCTAGTCGCAGCAAATGCCTATCCATTGCCTAAGGGTACGCGACTGTTTGTGGTGAGGGCCAGGTAATGAATGGGCTTTCACGTTTAACTTTTTGATTACTGCTAGTAAATAGAAAGTTAAACATTGTGTTTATCCAGCAGGTTTTGCTTAACTGGATTCAAAGCCAATTTGTGATCCTCACGTCGTTTCCGCTGCCGGGTGATTATTGATAGCACCGTGGCGAAAAAAAAAACTGGAGAAAGGCAAAGCCAGAACCTCGGTTGGTGTGGTAGATAGCACGCTATCCTTTGAAAGGTCATCATGGACTAGAACCGCACTTAGGGTTCAGTTTTGTTCACATCTCGGCATTTTTGTGGGCTTTCAGGTGTTTCATGACGCGATGAGAAGTTCAAGCAGACTAGCAAAGGTCCAGTTATGTGAGATACAACGTGGGATTCGCACTAATCCTTGCGGATGTGAGCCATTCAAATGTTAAGTAACACTAAAGTAGGTCATATTGAATTCGGCATTCGATCAACATCCGCCCTGTTTGAAAGGACACCACTGAGTGAAATTCACCATTCGAGTGATATTCCCTCCGCTGGATTGGACGCGATGCGTACAGCGAACACAGCGAACAAGAATATCATGAGGGCGACTACTCGTGGAACATCGATTCAGATCAAACCGGCTCCGAAAAAGACGAAGGCATCGAAACTTTAGCCGAATAAGATTCTTCTTTTACAAATTTCGTGTTAGCTTGATAATCCAAGAAGGTTGTAGGTACCAATATTTCGCCTTTCTTTACTGCTCCTCATATTTCCTTGCTATTCCAAATTATATAGGGCTTTCTATTTTCTAGCGCCCGTGAGATTTAGTAGTTATGTTTATAAACGTCTGCATATATGTGAAACAGTAGAGTTCTACTCACGTACCTATGAACATCGTCGTAACTTGACCATCAGATGTTTGCTTCCAATAAAGGTTCTCGCTCTCTCAGTTTGTCGATGAAGTGCTTGGTTCTGCTTTCGCTGCTAGGCTGTGTTGTTGCGATGCGCCAGCAGTCCGTTGCCGTAAAGGGACGGCTCCTCTGCGGAAACCAACCAGCGGCCGGAGTGAAGGTGAAGCTGTGGGACGAGGATGATGGTGAGCGTTTTCCGTCGAAGTATTCTGTATTGAATTCATCTGTTTGGCATCGTAAAACTGAAGTTTCTTAGCGATTTTAACACCACTATCATTCCAAAATAACTACAAAAAAAGTCGGTCTGATCATGACATTTTTATGTTGGGTACGTTTCATGGCGGCGTATTTAAAACACTTGAAAGATTCAGAACTCTGCAGAAATATTGGTGAAACTCTGTTCAATCACTTTAAATGTTTGTACAGTTTTCATGAAATATCTGTTCAGTTTTAACTTCGGGCCAAAATATTTAAGAAGTTAACATTTCTTTAACATAGCGAGTCACCGTATCTACTATGCGGATTTCAATACTTCTTGAATTCAAATCGTTCCCTCGTATTCATCGTGCGCAGAAGTCTGAACATTTCGTGTTTTGCTTCCGTTGGTGGATTTCATATTCTATACGAGTGTCATAGAATGCTGGTCGAAACGATTCTCCAATCTTGGATCTAGCAGGGTTGAGGAGTTTCCGCGACGATTGGAAGAGAGCATTTAGGAATGGGTTCAGCTAGCGCCTTTGTTTCATGATGGACGACATCACAAACCACTGCTCTAACCGGGGTCACTTTCATATTAGGAAATATGCCTATCAAAATGGGTTGAAAATCATACTACGCAAAGAAAAAGACGTTGGAAATAGAAGATGGTTTCCAGGGTTGGATTTTTTGGAAACACACCAAAGTCAGCATTTACCATCTAAAAATTTGATAGAGGAAATGTAAAGGGGAAATTGGGATCTGAGAAGAACCAAGAGGGTGGCGACTCAATAAAATCATGCCATGAGCTTTCAGTGAGCTGATAATGTTGAATGACTTGTTGTCAAATTATAATTACCGCTATATAATAAAAACCTGCAGTAGAGTTCTAGGACCAGATCCGGATGATGTTCTCGACGAAGGTTACACTGATTCTAACGGCGCTTTCCATCTTAAGGTGTGCTTCACAATTCAGAATTATTTCATTTGCTTTCTTTGTCTCGATTCAACTCAATCGTTTCAAGGGCTCTGAGCGTGAGCTCACCAACATTGATCCCGTTTTCAAGGTTTATCACGACTGTGACGATGGCATTAAGGTATGTTATAGCTCTATTTAATTCCAAAAGGCGTCAGCTCGGCTGTGGACCGCATTGAACCCAGTTTTTTTTCTTGACATTACAAAACTTCATATGCTAGTAAATAGGACACAAGTAGTCTCGAGTAGGTTACTACAGTTTCAGCGCACTTCACGCTGATCTTTAAGCCTAGGTATCTTCAAGTGTATAATGTTAAGTAAAACGAGCTAAACATTTTCATTTGTTACGACCTCTAATTGATCGTCTTCTAGCCGGGCCAGCGAAAAGTGAAATTTCGCATTCCGGATTCGTACATCTCCTCAGGAGGTGTGGCCAAGCGTATCTTCGACATAGGTGTGCTGAATCTGGAGACGATTTTCCCGAAGGAAGAGCGTGACCTCCTTTAATCGCTTGTCTTTTATTTGCTGAAGAAATCCTGCTTCGTTTATTACCGGAGTGCTTAACCATTAGCTTCTCATGAAACCTCTTGTACTTTCATACATTTTTATACACCACAATATTGACTATATGCTTAACCTAGTAGGGAGCTCGTTTATAATCTCCGTATCATTATGGCAATTGACATTAATAAACGTTAAAATACCTGATTGTCCAGCGAAACTAGAGTCATGAAACTGTTAAACATGTGGCTCATAAACCCGAAGTTTCGGCAGACTATTATAATTTCTCGTTCCTTGGAGTTTCTAAAGAGTTGAGAACTTCACATTTGATAAGAGATTTCGCTGTCACTAGGCTTATATATCACATTTATAAAAGCTTTTTTTTAATTTTAGTTCTGAGTAAGAAATTAAGAGTGTTAAAAATTGAACACGAGAATTTAATTTTTAAAACACCGAATGTAGGAACGGCAGCCGTGCACACCAACGGTAAACTGAAGAACGTCATTACGTCCAGTTCACCAAGAGCAAGACCGCTACGTTGTTCGATGCCCGAGCTATGACGGAAAAAATTGAAGAAGTAGTTTCGGAAAATCCAGTAAATCGAAAATTTTATGGATGTGGAATATGAGAGCTTGCACAATCTAGTGAAACATCTATAGAGTTTAACAGCCTTTATTTCAACTATTAAAGTTAGATAGGATGCGGATGGTAGTGATGTGATGTGGTAATGATGTCCGTCATCACGAACATGGTGCTAGTTCGATTCCGCTTTGGGCAAACCGAGCCTCTCATCCCTCTGGGGTCGGGAAGTTGGTACTGGACTTGTCTGAGAAATAATCAATTTCTGAAATCCAATAGTGAACGCTCCTGCCCGGCTACCTCAGGACTCCAGGAGAATCGACTAGAGCAACATCCTACGACATTCAAGATAAAATGAAAATCCTCAAGTAACAACCGAAGCCACACGTAATGTTGGAAGATCTTCGTGGACAATAGATGCGAGAAAACTAATTTAATGTGAGAAGTACTGAGGTTCGCACAGCAGACGTGAAGACAGGCCACATCACCTATATCACCTGTAGTCCAGTTGATCGTCGAGTGATTCGAGCGGGCGCCAGCAAATCTTTAATTTTTCCCTGTCGCGTGGAAGAGTAGTCCAGTGGGCCAATCTCGGCCAGGCCGATGACGTCGCACCTTATCCTTCTTGCTTGCATGGGCAAGTCTTCTATCGAAGACTCGGATGCAAGTGTACGTGTATTGTAGGTACAGATCGTAATTTTAGTTCTTTGCGATCCAGGCAGGTTCCATTGGCCCTGAGATTTTAGCAGCCTCTCCGTACTCGTCCTACCCAACGCTGCCGAATTGGAGGCTCTTTAGTGGTCAGGGGAATGAGGCCCATGTATTTTACTATGTTTACCTTTTTGATACCCGCATATAGCTTGCTAGACTTTGAACGTGGAGCTGGGTATACTCACGGATAGCTTACAAAGATCTCCCAGAGTAAACATGGAGCTTATTTGTTGGAGGCGACTCCTAACAGCCTCCCATATACTTCCCTGTCACTTGGTTGCAGGCTTTTGGCCGAATTAACTCGTAGAATACAATCCGCATAAGCGGAAACGCACCCACACACGTATGCATGAATAGGCCTAGCAAATACAGAAAGTATGTGCCAAAAGAAACAGGGAGTCCATCCCTGAATTTACCTGCGTCTCATAGAAGCAAAGGTCGCTTTTGGTCCGCGAGTAACCCCCTATCTGTCACCTAGAGACGCGCCGCGTAGCATAGCGAATAACCGGCTCGAGAATAAGCGAATAAGATTCCATATGATGGAGATCCGTAGAAGAGGGGTCATATAGAATAAAATAAAAAATAGATAAAAAGTTTGATATGAGCTGGCAAATATTTGTTTGATGTTGCAAGCAACAAATATTGCTGTATCAAACGCAATGTGTTCAGTATGTGTCAGGTGCTGCATTTTAAGCCTTATTAGCTCAACAACGCGCTTCAAATTCACTGCTTGCTGGGAAGAGCATTACGAAATTGATACTGACGAAGAGCGACGAGTAGAAATCAACTATGGATATCAGACAGAGCTCATCCAGAATTTGAGCTTTGCCAAAAGTTAATGTGCAATTATAAATATGGTGCTGTTCCAGTAAGCACTCTTACTTAAACATTCTTAAACGTCTTGAATCTAGTGATGTCGGTGCTTGTTTAACAGTGTTATCCTTTGGGAAAAAATTATTAGTGTAGGGCTAATAGATGCTAAACATAATCTAAATAAGAGATCTAAACGCGTATCTTACTAACACTACAATACAACCACAACGTTGCTGAGATATTTGCAAAACTCTGGACCGCAGGTGTCTATGGTGGGGAACGAACGGGCTATTATCCTTTCCGGGGAGTAACGCGTTCACCACCACACCATGCGGTCCTTTGTTTCGCACGTCTCTCAGCTATTTCTATCGATCTTTTTGCCACAGCAATCACCCGTCAACGGGGTTGATCTGGGAAGCGCAAATCGGCATAGAACCCAGTTAAGCTATGGCTGTAGTTCGGAAAGGATAATAGCGCGTTCGTTCCCCACCATAGACACCTGCGGTCCAGAGTTTTGCAAATATCTCAGCAACGTTGTGGTTGTATTTCGCTTAGTAACCTGCCATGAAAATTATAGAAGGCAGAAAACAAAACGTTTAACACNTCCCCCACCATAGACACCTGCGGTCCAGAGTTTTGCAAATATCTCAGCAACGTTGTGGTTGTATTTCGCTTAGTAACCTGCCATGAAAATTATAGAAGGCAGAAAACAAAACGTTTAACACTACAATATTCACTGGTTTTGATACAGACGTTACATTTGCCCCAGGATCGTTTTGAGTAGATTAAGGAGTGTTGTTAAGCATTACAAAATTGCAGTGACGGATTGAATACAAATATGGTGAAATTTCCAGAGTTCATTACACATGTCACATCTGTAGAGTTTCGCTAACTATGAGAGAGAAGAGCAGCGCGAGATGTCCTCAACTCGTCGCTAGCGCTACGAAAAATTTCTCTCTGACCTGTCGGGCCGGAAAGAGATAAAGAGAATTCTGTCTTTCGTACATGGTCTGTGTGACAAAGTAGGTGGGTGCTTTGCTGTAAGTATAAAATTACATGGAAGCGAACTGCAACTGAATAGTGTATTAGTTGGTGCAATGGAATATAAGAGTTCGGGTCAGTCTTCGACGCATGGCAATTACTAACTCGAAGTAGATTGCTTGACTCTGTATGAGTTCACCACCCGGCTCTTTTTACGTAGCCTGCAGAGCAATTTCAAGCTTGGGTTATAACTGTTTATAGCAACAAAAAGTTTATGTGAAAGCCATGGAATAGTTAATACAAAGGCTTTTACAGAAAGTACATGTGGAAACGATACAAAGGCTTATACAGAATGTTTATGTGGGGGCGGAACAAAGCAGAGTAGGCATGGACAAACGTGACCAGCAGTAGCCATAGTTCACATAGGAGATATACTGTAGTATAGAAAATAGGAACTACTTGAGAAATAGTTTTTACAAATAGTGCTCAGTGGTTATCGTTTAGACGAACGATATCTCTGAAGCAATTGATGTTTGAATTAATCGCTAGTGTAACAGCACCCCTGATTTTCAATTGGCCAAGAAACTCAGAATTTCCTCTTATCTACATCACGTTTTCAGAGAGGATAATAATCCACGAGACCTGCGACTACCTCTGGTGGTGAAAACCTGGGGCAGAATTTGACTGGGCTGACACTGGAATTTCAGGAAAGCAGAATGGCTTAACCAGCAAGTCCCCGAAAAGTGGGGATTATGCTGAGCTCCGCACATTCAATGAGGGCGGCCATTCAAGTTTCAAGTATCACGTATCAAGTTATCCAAAACATGTTCAATAGTTATCGAATATTTTTTATCTGTATATTATTTTTCTGCCAACTGTTCTTCATTGAATGTGCATTTGACTTGCACTGCTTAATCATCTCCAAATAACCAAGTCCTGTGTAAAAACTTTCTTAGAACTTGCAATCTGCCGCTTTCTGATGGAGATCTTCGCGGCTACTGTACCCTCCATTGAATCTGCCTCATCGGATGACACTGCTTTAGAAAGGATTTTGCTACCTGCTCCACTCTTCAAACCATCTCTTCAAAACATCTGCATACTGTATCTTTAACTATCCTACCTAAATTCCGCCTATCCTAACGATGTAAACTGCTCGGTCAGCCTTCAGTTCGTCCAGTCCGTTTAACCAGTGCATCTCTAATTCGCATTCTTTACCTTTTTCGTTATAATTGTACTGTTACTGTATTCACTGCTATCATAAAAGGCTGCAACCTAGTGCCCCAAGGCCTTCAGCTCAGCAAGTAATACACTGAAGTCCCGCGTGGCGAACGCGAAAGGCGAGCAGTCAATAAATTAATATTCAGAACTATGTGATATTCGGCTGTGGACGTTCTCACAAATGTTTTTTATGTCTAGATTGTTCACATCGCCTTTTCGATATACCACATTATATAGAAGTTTACTTAACAAAGTCTTAGTTTCATGCAGCGGCATCAAGGCCACAGAATCACACATTCTCAATTTGCTTCTCCACAAAGTTAAGCTTTTCGGATTCACAGTATGATTGAAATTTTCGTTTAGCATATCCTCTGCTTGGTTGTGGGTGTTTGGCCGAGTAGATTCCGGTTAACTTGACCTTTCCAGGGTCCGAGGAAGGCGATATCCGCCAAAACGTCAGCTTGCTAGTGAATGAAGAATAAATAACATATCGGCTTTGCTCAACAAGAACATAGCAATTAACTTCAATGATGCTGAGATATTTGCAAGACTCCGGACCGCAGGTGTATGCGGTGAGGAACGAACGCGCTATTGTCCTTTCCGGGGAGTAGCGCGTTAACCACCACACCACGCGGGTCCTTTGTTTCGTCTGTCTCTCAGCTAGTTCTATCGATCTTTTGCCATCAGCATTCACCCGTCAGCGGGATTGATCTGGGGGCTCAAATCGGCAACGAAGCCAGTTAAGCTGAGGCCGCAGTTATAATCACAATTCTAACTTATTATTTACTGCCTACTCTTTTTAACGGCAGGGTATACATTGTGAAATATAACTTCAATGATGCTGAGATATGTGACGGGTGATTGCTGATGACAAAAGATCGATAAAGTTAGCTGAGAGACAGGAGAAACGAAGGGCCCGCGTGGTGTGGCGGTAAACGCGCTACTACCCGGAAAGGACAATAGCACGTTCGTTCCCCACCACATACATCTGCGGTCCGGAGTTTTGCAAATATCTCAGCATCATTGAAGTTATATTTCACAATGCATACCCTGCCGTTAAAAAGAGTAGGCAGTAAATAATAAGTTAAAATAGCAGTTAACGTTTTTTGATAAGCTGACACCAGGCTGTTATCACAGTCTTTATTTCACAGTGGCTAACCTTTCAGTGGATTTCGCTTTACTCAAAGTTGGTTTCGTGCAGCTTTTGGGCGTGATGTTTAAAACCAGCGTCTCATGGTCTACATGAGTGAGGAATGCTTTACATTTCTTTGCTCGAAGGCCAAATCTGGCAAAGCGTTATTTATTGTAAAACAATTATTGTGATAATAATCCCGCGTTTGTTCATCAAGATAACTTAGTTGATCTAATAATCCATCGTAAGACCGTAAGACAATAAGGCTATGAGCATTTGAGATTGTTCTGAAGCTAGACTGAATCAAATTCCGTGTTTTTAGATCTGTCAGTTCTTTACGCCAACTTTGACTCATCAGGGCGATTAGGAATGAAATAATAGCCAGTTATTAGTCAGCAATTAAACTTTGTGTAGCTCCGTTATGGATGGTACCGGTTTTTCGGCCCACAACAAACGACAATTTTTCGATGACTATAACAATTCGGTTAATATAATTGGTAAATTTTATGGCTTTGTTATGGCGAACAAGTGGGAATTAAACGTGGTATAGGCAAATAGGTAGAAAAGGGAAGCATTTGATGTGGGAAGCGCAAGTGTTGTAGATATGAGAAGATCCGTCAGTCTCGGTCTTAAGATGAACGTTTTTAGGTTGCAACAGTTGTAGGCTTACCGAAGTTGCAGTTCTCCTTTTCCACCCTTTGTATCATGTAATATTAGAAATATCTGAGTTAGAGCATGCTCGCTCAGTTCCATTTTTTGACAACACAACTTATGATCGACAAAACGATTTTGTACAGGATTAGACTGCAAATAAAGATTGTTAATAGGAATTGCTGACGAGTATGTATACCTGGAAAAAACTGCGCATTGACCAATTCCTGCGATGTCTAGTTTCGGGTCACCTTTCGCCACTCTACCTCACTCAAAACTTACAAATATAGTCGTAAATTATTCAAGTAGCCCTCAAGAGGTGAGTAGTTTTACGGAATTTGGTGCACACTGGTTTATTGTGAAGCGATTATTGTGGTAGCAATCCTGTGTTTGTTCATCAAGATAACTTGATGATCAAATGATTCACCGTACAACGACATTGCATCAAGCATCTGAGGTTATCCATCTATAACAGGAGCTTTTGAGTAATTTGTGGTAATCAACCTTGTGCGCTATTTGATGGGTGAAAGAAGGCATTTCTGCACCACTAGTTGCTGTACAAACTTTTAATTGGCTGAGAACTTAGTGCAAAGAAGGATTCACCTGTGAGAAAACTAGAGAAAAGCTAGATCGTCCACCCAGAAATGAAGGGAGAACAGTGGACAACAAAAAACAATTAGAGTCGTATAACGGTGAAATGTGGAATGATAACAGTGACGTTATTACGACACCTACAGTTTATGGCATGACTGTTTTCCTTGACTCATCAAGAGTGCAAAAGCTGCAATCAGGTAGACGTTTTTCAGGTACTTCTTTATATACCTATAGTTTATGTACGCACGGCTGTTCTTCCACCTGGTCACTCAGACGTATTTCTTGAACGAATGAAACGTTATAGTAAATACGTGTGGAAAATCTCTCTGAATGATATCATGATGGGCGTCTACTTGCGTCTCGGTGGAAAGGAAAATGCTTTGTTCTAGATAAGTTGTCGTCCCATTGAAAAAAGGGATAATAGTGGGTCGTGAACATGAGGATCTTATAGGACGATAGCAAGAAATTGCAAGTGTACTGCTAAGTAAGTTACCACCGGACGTATCCGTTATAGGGTACACTGCTATTTTGAGTGATCAACCTTCTTCCAAGTGACCAACAAGAGGGTACTCCTTTGACAAGAAGTCCAAGTCTTAGGCAAGGAGTTGCAAGTTATTTATAGAAAATGTTTAACGAATATAAGATTTGCAACTTTTATGTGGAGGCTGTTTTTTCCAAGGATGTAAAAATTGTACCCATATTTTTATTGGGAATTCTAGAGTGTAAGGTTTATGTATGTGAACGCAACCTTTCAAACAACAGTAAACCATTCCGGTAATGAGACTCGTTACCTGTTTTTAATAGAAAGTTCATTAAAGCATTTTGATAGACACATATTTCGTAAAATTCGAGATGTTTTGAAGAAGACTCCTTATTGATTTATAATGTAATAACGTAGAAAGGTTTTTCCAAAGTTTCGAATTTCATTGTTCAAGTAAAAAGGATTGCGCACCTTCCTCACAACCAGCGGTCTGTGGGGTGCATACTCTCTTCGGCAGTAGCAGTCTATCTCATCCTCACTCCTAAAAGACTGACGTAGCATCCCTGTTTAGTAAGCTAACAACTGAGTACAAAATTCGATGGTGCAAAAGAAACCACTAGGGAATCCACTGAGGATAACGCACTTGGTGAACCTTGCTCCTCACCACGAACGCATTGCGCCCAATGCCTTGGGGAAGCTATGCTGATTCTCCACGAAAGTATTCAATTGTAGAATCAACGAAAGCGGATCAAGTTTTAGCAATGACTGAACTGTGGTCGTTCATTATATGTAGGCAATGATTAGAACACTATATAATTAAGCAACTTTGATAAGTAGAGTTTTACCTGGAAGAGAATAGGAGAGCTCTTTTGATACGTCAAGCATATCACACCTAAAATGAAATTGTTGTGAATCAGTCTGTGTTTTTCTTTGGAACAAGACACAGTGACATACACCAGAAACGTTCAATGCTACTGCGATTTCGCCCTGAGAGATAAGATAAAGTGCTGTCACATTGGCTAACCAGAAGTGCTCCTTGATGCAATTCCCAAACATTCATTTCATATTTATTTGTATGCTTTGCTGAGTTTTACCGCTGGGGAATGCTGAGCAAGATCCTTTGATCACTTTCATCTCTATCTATGAATTTAGCTAACCATTGCTAATCTGGTAACAAATTAGTGTAGTGCAGAAGAAATCCAGGCTTTTCTTTCCTCAGAAATCGTTAATTCTAAAACCATTCATGTTATGTTTGTCGTGGTTTGCTTCTCGTCTTGAACAATAATCGTGGGCTTTCTACTAGCAAACCGACTAACGGCATACTAGCAATTCTTCTGACATACATTTAGGGCATTAATTCGATCGAAATAGGACATTACACACCCTCCAGAATCGTTATAGGAGGCTTACGAATGTTCTTGAAAAACGTTAGGAATCATAGTTTACGGAGAAAACCTGCTCATTTTCAGAAAATGTTCATTTTTCTCAGATAAAATCCGCAGTCCTGATCGCTCTGTTCGCTCTGCTGGGCTGCTGCTTTGCAATGCGCCAGCAGTCCGTGGCGGTTACTGGAAGGTTGAGATGTGGCACCAGTCTGGAATCCGGAGTCAGCTTGAAGCTCTGGGACGAGGACGATGGCGAGTTGTTCAACACTATTGAACAGCTTCAAAAGTATTAAATTAGAGACTTTTATGATATTTCACTTTGGTAACATGAGAAATTGTTTTTTGAAATTATGCACACAATACCTTCAAATAGGTAATTCTCAAGAATCACTTTTTTTCGAATAGTGGCTTGCTATCTAAGTCTATTCTAAACCAAAATAGACGGAGTACATCTGAACGTTGGTGTAGAAAGGGTTAGCGCAGTCACTCAATAGTGGATAACCGAAGGTCCTCTTCTGGTCTGGTCGTCTCAAGTTTGCGCGCTTGTGCTTGGTAGATTGGCGGCGGCTTTTTTTGTATTTCATTAACCAAATTTCTAGTTTAGAAATCGACCCTGACGATCTTCTCAGTCAAGGATTTACTGATGCTCAAGGTTTCTTCCACTTGAAGGTATTGGTATTACCTATTCAGCTTTTTTTGTGGATAATAACAAGCCTTCACAAACAGAGCATAAAGAAAAGGAAGAAAAGGTTGAATTTTTCTCATTTTCCCTAACAATGATCTCTTAGGGTTCGGAGCGTGAACTTTCCTCAATTGATCCTGTTCTCAAAGTGTATCACAATTGTGGTGATAAGGTCAATGTATTATTCTACGAATCTGAAAGTATCCATTTATAGATGTAATAGAATTATTTTTCAACTGGTGTTTAGAGTAATTTAAGCTGTACTTTTTCCAACTTTAGCTTATTCTGTGAAGTTGTTTAATTCACAGTTTTTGTGCTGACATTTAGATAGGCCAACGCAAAGTGAAGTTCCGTATTCCGAAGTCTTACATCTCCGAGGGTGGACATCCCAAGCGTACTTTCGACATCGGGGTCATAAATCTGGAGACCATTTTTGCTCAAGAAGAACGCGATTTCGTGTAAATTCTTCCATTGCTGATATGTTGAATTCCAGAACCGATGCTATGATGATAAATCTAGCACATGTCTTTGCTGGACATAAACTGTGTTCCTAATATTCACAACTTAGAAGTTAAAAAAAACTTTAAAAAGCAGCTTTTGTTGATGAAATGACATAACTTTCTCATCGACACTGAGTAATCGGTTTACATAAGTGGTAGATGTTGTACAAGCACTCAGTAGTAGATTACGAGAAAAGATTGATTCTCTATTCCCACCGGGTTATTTCTAGTGAAGCCCACACTTAATCATGAACACAAAACAGCAAAGAAGCATTGTGTGCTACGCATTCGTGGAGGGAGTCAAGGTGAACAAGGTGATTGACCCCAATGTATTTCTCTGGCAGTGGTTTATTTCGCTGTGCAGTTTTTCGCTGGGCTTTTTGTACTCAACTGATAGCGTGTCCAACACAGATGTTATTCTAGGCTTGGCCTTGAAAAGTCATTTTCTACACTAAGAAATTAACAAGAACCTTTCTCATATTAGCTTATAGACCTGTAATTTGGCGAGTAATTGGCCACTATTTCAATTATGGTAGTTATTATGAATTATGATTATCACATCGCCGAAGTTAACACAGCACATTTCACAAAGCTGTTAAGAGTCTGTAACTGACGCGAAGTTAGGCGTTTTCACCGCGCAGGTTTCAGCTTTCGGCGTTATGTGTGAAGTAAATTGTCGTTCCCCGTAGGCATATTCTCTACCACACCCCACATGGGCGCGTGTGGCGCAGTGGTCGTAGGCTCCCTACAACACACACGTGGAATTGATCCGCGCGTCCATGGCCTACCAAGCCTTCCATCTCTCTGTGGTCGGGAAATTGGCACCAGACTTGTCTGGGATGATAGCAGCACTGGCTCGATACATCAGTAGGCCACCGTGAGTCAATGTAAAGACCAGGTATGCATTCGGTCACTTCCAACGATGCTTAATGAAGTCGAATCCACGGCGCATTCTTCAGGGATTGATCAGGGGTGAGAGCTTCATCCTTTTTCTTAGCTCAAATGAAGAGATTCACAGCCCAAGAGCTATGATTTTCGACTCGAGGTGTCGGATAAGTGGCTAAGCAGAGATCATAGGCAAGCTTAGAACTGCCTTCGAATGGAGGTGAATTCGGGGGATTCTTCTTTGTGCAAAGTCAAATTGAAATGTACAGCTTTTGTATGTATATGAAATTATGTAAAACTATGCATGTGAACATTTGTGTGCATGCCTATGTGCTGCATAATCACGACTATTCATTTAGAAGCTTAAAATCAAAGATGGTTGCGAACTGCGTAAAAGGTTCATGAAGGTCTCCTTCAACTAAAGCTCTCTATGCAAATATCGACGAGCTTGCCGTGAATGCACTCTTCATCGTAGCCAAAGTTGTTTCCTTAAGTACTAGTATACGAAAACAGTAATATGCCATATTTGTTTTCTTACGGGGTTCCCGATACGGCAGCGTTAGGTATAACAAAGCGAGGAGATCGCATAATTTCGAAACGATTATGGACCTGTTTTGCACTTACCACGCGTGTACACCACCACCTGAACACTCTACTGAAGATTTGACGATGGAGGTAGATATGGTTAGTCACGACGTTATTGGAATGATCACGATGAACCGACACCGTAAAGGCTGTCTATGGGCCAGAAGGAGAAATGTTACTCGGAACATTTGATAAGAGAGGAGTTAGCGGTACTGTCTTCGTCATTAATTGTTTGGTCATTAACAAGGGCTCCGTTGGAAAATTAACGCCGTGAATGGGATCTTTCCAGCTTAAATTACAAGGATTATTGCTAACTTTAACTAACTTCGTTTTTATGCCTCAAGACTAAAATGTGACGAAAACGAGACCAAGGCACTTCATACGGAGTTGAAAATGGTAGCATGTGTCTTCGAATGCTGCTTATGACGTTGTTATCTTCTGTCATGAACATCTTGAATGTTGGCCAAGCATGATTTTCTCTATAGAGTCCAGACAGCCGTGCTCTGGCGTTTTCTTTTTATCACGATAGGAGGTTGCTGGCCTTTATAGATTTGAGGGAAATTTGCTCCGTTGCGACTCAAATTCCTTCAACACTACCGTAATTCCTGTGATTGCTTGCTCCCTTGGTGTTAGCCGATCTGCCACTCAAGGACGATGTGATAAGTCGAATTGGAGAGTGTACTGTTGCAACCCTATTGCTGGTTTTAGGTCAGTTCCATTTGTTTGTAATTCAATCAATTAAAGGTTGATTCGACGAGATCGATGCGTTCTCCATATGTCCTTATAGCGTGTTTGAGATGGTTCTGTAGGCAACGCACTACTTATAAGAAGTTTTTAATTTTATGTTCACAGTGAACAAATCCGCAGAAATCCTCGGTTTTTGTTGCAGATGAGAAGTTTGCTGCAGATCACCACACATTCACCCCCAAGTCACTTTATGGAAGACTTTTGATCGAATCGGCTTCCAAAGAATACGATCAGCAAAAAAAATTATCTTACATAAAAATATGGTCGACATTAAGTGTAGTTATGTGTATTCGAAAGAGATAGGCCAGCTCGTAGTACTGAAAATGTAAACCGTATTTTGTACCATATTTACCTTCTCGCGACCCCTATCATAAAGAGAACAAGTGACACTGTTTGTAGTTCCCAGGACCGACTTTCTATTAACCTCGGCATTGGAATATGAATGCGTCGTTTTCTTGTTCAGCAATCGCGAGGTTTTTAAACAGCATACATTTACTTCCATAGAGAAACACAACACAATACAACACTAGCTGACGTTTCGGCAGTATCGCCTTCTTCAGAGCCGCTTTTTACGCGACTTCCAATGATGTATGCTGTTTAAAAACCTCGCGATTGCTGAACAAGAAAATAACACTGTTTGTTTAAAAGAAAACAAATAATACTCCTTACTAATAATACGAATTTATCGTGTTTAGAAAAACTGAGGAGATCGTATGCACTAAGCACCAGAACCGAATCAACCACTGTGTACCTGGGCCTAGAAACTCATAACAGTACGCTGAGGGCTCAGGTCTACGTTCAGGTACTCATTTTCCAACTTGATGTAATGATGAACCAGGTCAGACTCTCAGTTTGCCTACGAAGCGACTCGCGAAAACCTTGAAGTTCCATTGAGGACGTCAATCAGGGGTTTATTCCCATTACTGGTACTAGTTTCACTTTGTTCCGAAGTGACACCACAGACGCTTCGGTTGTTTTTTCTTCAGAGTAAGATAAGATAATGACAACTTATGTCATAACTATTATACATCGAGTTTTTCTGTTGTTTTTCGTTGATTGTAGCTTTCATTTTTTGTCAGATTTCCACAGAATTTAACGCTTTTAAAAATTCGTTGCTAATTTTAACTGGACCCTCTCGAAAAGCGCTCCGTACCGAAATCTATCAACATGCGACTAATTCCACTTAGACTAAGCAGATAGGTATTTTTAACGCATTTTATAAAGTTGATTGAGCTGAAGTCACTATTTAATCATTAATCGATTTTGCTTGTCAAGTGAAATTTAAAAAGAAGCCATGATTCTCCTGTGGTGTGTCGACTGACGCTCATCGTGAAGGCCAAATTCGTATTGAATGATCTCAAATAGGAGACACCTAGTGGCGTTGAAGAGAATGAGCAATGAGAACTTCATAGCTAAATTCAATGTGTTCAAAGGCGGTCGCAATTTCAGATGAGGTGCCTCATAGCTCTTGCAATTACTGGCTGTAGTCTTTCAATACGGCAACAGACAGTGGCCGTTTCCGGACGACTAATCTGCGGCGAGAATTCTGCGGTCGGAGTGAGTGTGAAGCTTTTCGATGAAGATGACGGTGAGGAAAGAATACCATTTGCGTCAATTTTACGAAATCAAACGCACTTTAATCACCCAACAATTCGGCCATTCTGTTAAGCCCATGTCAACGAGCCGGTTAAGGAGGGGCGTTATAGTCATTTCTTCAGCTAAGAGCCAATTGGTAAGATTGAGCTCTCTATTCTAAACATGGCAGAAGGAGCTTATTTGAAAGAGTGAGGAAAAGAAATTGTGACGTGTTTTTTGCTACAAGCACGAATCATTCAATAAACATTCAGGACTAGACGTGGATGACGTTTTGGATGAGTGTTACACAGATGCAAGTGGAAGATTCTTCTTGACGGTTATTTCGCTCTAATCATATTTTTCGACGTTTTCGACCCTTTCTTTTACAAAGACAAGTGGTGTTCTTTAGGGATCAGAACGAGAGCTGACAAACATCGACCCTGTCGTGAAGGTATATCACGACTGCGATGATGGCATAGTGGTATATTCGACTTTCAATCTTTTCAACTTTAAGGTTTCGAATAGTAAAACCTCGTTCATCAGCGCTTTTATACAAATCTATTTAATTGGAATTTATTTACTACTACATTACATGGATACTAGGACAGCCCGACTTCATTGGTTGTGCGAGACCCAGCTTAATTTCCATTCTACAGTGACTTACTGGTTTAGCCAGCGTGGTTCCCCAGAGCCCCGAAGAGAGCCTGGAAGTCTGCCGCAGGTCGTCACCACCACAGGTAGCTGCCGCCTTTATCGATCAGAGCAGGATTTGCCACCATGGGACTAGAATTTAATTTTTACGTACTTTCCGTGCTACCACTAAATCTATAGCAATCAACAAACCAACAAATTTATTTCCTTTTAAATCAGGAGTTGAACACATGTGTATTGACTACTCTTTATCAAGCCTTCAGCAGCTTCCCTATGTACTTGTGCTGCGCACTAATTACTCATCTTTCGGCCCGGACAACGGAAGCTGAAGTTCTACATTCCTGATGCGTATATCAGTTCGGGAAGAGTGGTGAAAAAGGTTTTCAATCTGGGAGTGATCAACCTACAGACGATTTTCCCCAGTGAAGGTCGCAACTTCCTGTGAAACACGGCACTCCATTGAGCTGATTCCTTTATAGAACTCGTTTTCTAGGATCCACTTCCGTGCTACCACTGGATTTGATAAGTAATTTTTCGGAAAGCAATTTGAATTATCGTGAGACCTTATATTGTAGGACTATTTCGAACTCCAAAAAACATTTTGCAGAGTGTGATTTTTGTAACGCTTGGTCAAGCGAATGTTTACGATGACGCGGTAGCGAAGAGGAATTTCTTCCATTGGTTGAATAGCGCTTTTCTATTGTGGAAAAATAATCATAGTGAATACGTTCCTGGATTATTAAGCTAACACGAGGGTGAAAAAGAATAAGTGTAGTTCTTAAAATACCTGAGATATAATCCTGGCGACGTCATCCTTTTGTGAGATCAGTGTAGGACGTGTTCCATAGAGAATAGTGAATTGTTGCTTGTCCGAACATATATTTTATTATATTTACAATGACTATTGCTGATGAATGGTCTTTCCGTAGAAGAACAAATTTCTCAGTGGACAAGCAGTCAACAATCGTCTTCTACATAACGGCACTGCCGAGTGGGAGTATTTCACACCAGTGGATTTGTTCTAGACTCCTATCGGATGCTATCATGTAAAGACGCATCGGAAAAATTAATGGCTGTGGACAACCGACTAGAATCCTTGGGGTTTAGAATCGTTTGAAGGCCCTGAAACGCTAATCGTAATAACGTCTTTGTAACAACCCTTTGCAAGGTAAACATATAAAAACACTGACTATTCACGTCGAGGTTAAAAGAGAATCGATAGTGAGAAATCTAGACATTATTGCGTTAACTCTTCATTTACTGCGTACTACAATTTTTCGCGACAGAGTACTATGTGAAAAGCAACCACGACGATACTGAGATACTTGCAAAACTCTGGACCGTAGGTGTCAGCGGTGGGGAACAAACGCACTATTACCTCTTCCAGGAGACAAGGAGTACACCACCACACCATGCCGGTCCTCCGTTTAGCCTGTTCCTCAGCTAGTTCTCTATTGATCACTACCATCAGCAATCACGCAGCAACGGTATTGATCTCGGTAGCACAAATCGACATTGAATCCAGTTAAACTGAGGCTGGAGTGCAAATCGAATGGAATGGATAGGAAAGCCCATCTCAGCAGAGTTGGTTAACATAGTGAACTTTGCCTCTTTTGTTATTTAGTGTTTGTTTCATTCAATCTCTCCATTGAACAATTTGATTTTCAACGTTACCACTCTTGTTTTCCACAGGTGGTGAAAAGTTAGAAGGGCAAAATTATAACATATTAAATCTAGCATACCGCCAACAATCTTTATGATTTAATGCTTCGGAAACAAAAAGTACTTTACAACTTATTGTAGCACAAACTGTAGTACAATTTCGTTAAAGAAGACAAAGCGGCACAACAAACAAGTACATGAGAAAAAAAATGCAGAAGAATATCCTACGAACGATTTGTAGTGATTGAGTGGTTTTCGTCAGAATTTGTTCTTCCTCCTTTGGCGGGCCTTCTGTGGTCAGTGGCACGGGAGACAATGAGATTACCGTTGAAGGGCCTGAAAACTTCAAACGAATAGTTCCTCATTAGAAAACAATGACGTTATAGTCTAGTGGGGTCTACCCTTTTGAATTACCTACCTTCTAAACGAACAATTCGATATGTGATCAATTACATGTGACAGAACGGGAGAACTGCAAAATGTAATGACTCACCAGCGTTTTCGATGCCGACAATGCTGTCATTGTCACCGTCACGTCGCTCTTGCTGCTCCTTGGGCTCATTTTCATCCAACGCATTTGGTGGTCCAATAAAGAAAGGAGAGTTGAGTTCCTTCGGGTCTTCATCAAGAGCCTCGTAGTTCAACAACCTATGATGGCAAGTGGGTGCACTCTTGACGGGGAAAACAGTGAAAGCTCATCTTTTCATGCTACATAACTGGTTAGGTCAGGCTCGGTTTTTCGGGCACTACCGGTCACAACAAATGCAATGCGAATTAGAAAATTTTCAAAAAAATTGCATTTTGTCTAATTTCGTAATGAATTTTCCCATCTGTAACGCTCGAAGGTAATTTCCAACAAGTGACGATGTACGGACTGCTGCAGTGAAGTTGAATGAGAGCTGCTTCTAAGCAATTATCAACGCTCCCTCAAAGATGCATAGTTTAATTGTCAACGCACCATCACGGAAAAACTTTTAATTCCCACTGGTTAGTTAATTTAAACCCCTCTGCACTGTTTAATTCCCTATGATGACAGGTGATGTTGACAAAACTGATATTTACTTACTTACCTGGACGGCGCGTCCTCACTGGTTGTGTGGGCCCCAGCATAAATTTCACCTTTTCGGAGTTTTGTTAGCTTAGCCATTGTGGTTCCCTGGAGGCCTGAGGTCAGCCTAGCCAAAGTCTGCCCCAAATCGTCACCACTACAGGCAATCGGAGCTCTTGTGGATCAGCGGGAGACTTGCCACTATGAAACTAGTTTGATACCAGGACGGTGGTTGATAACTGGTATCGGTTTACTCTTAGCTGGGCTTCCTGATGGAAACGCCGGACTCCTCAGCTTGGGATACCCTACCAGGTGGATTAATTCTCCCATTTTACTTCGCAAACCGACATGCAGGAACACCTCTCAGCCACGATGAGGCGGTAAACCATTGGAAGGTGACAAAACTGATTGGAAATGTGGAATTTGGAGCCGATGACCTGACTAAAACAACGTATTGTTACAGCAAGTAGCGTTGATGTTCTGTTGTTTTTAAAAACAAAAAACTGCAGAAAACAGTTGTGATGAGAAGTATAATTGCTTTATGAAGAAATTTGCAGCCAGTCAACCTCGACTGAGCTGGAAATCTTTTCTTTCTCCACAGCAAGTTTTTTAAAATGAAAAATATTATGAGAATTTCAAGAGGTTTAGGTAATTAAATTGGTATTTCTGCTCATTCGACGCGATTCTGCTTAGAAGACGTCAAATAAAGCAACATATAGACCTGCTACAAATACATGCACACTTCACTTGTACAAACAACTAAAGTTTTTGCTAAAGAAAATTTATATCTGCCTCGACAACGGTTTATGGAGCGGTTACGTTCTTTTAAATAGGCTCTTACCAAATTGTCATTATGTCAAGAACATAAAGATTTATATAGTCGGAAGCCCTCACCACTCATTTTTGAGTCGAACATGTACCTAAGTGCCCTTCATTTAGCACCCTGCTCCAAATTCCCCAGCAGATTAATAGACACTAATGGCATATTATTTGCTCCTCTACCTTTCCTTTCAAACGTTTTTTCGATCTTTTCGATGACTTCTAGTATGATTCTTCTGTACGGAACAGTCCCTGAAGGCCTGTTTGTCCGTGTTGCTACTTTTCATTTTTTTGCTAAAGATTTTCTTAGTCCTGTTGGATACGACTCCAATAAAAAGATGTAAGAAAGATATTAGACAGTTTGGTGACAATTAGCTTGAATAATAACGTCCAAAGAGGGAATATAAGCTTGGAATAATGTTTACATAGAACCGTTAAGGCAGTTATAACCCACATCGCTTTAAACTAGACTAAAAAACTTTTAAAATCCTTGAAGTCACGAAATTATTTGAAAAAAACACTAGAAAATGACAAAGGACGTGGAATAGCTACAACGAAGTAATGGTCAAACTCACATTTGTGGATCGAAAGAGAGGCCTTTCACTTGGAAAAGCTGGCCAAGTCGTAGCTTCTCTGGCAAAGATAAGACCTAAATTTTCAGCTTCGCTGAGAGATATGACAATAGGTCCAAAAAACCAACTTTATTTTGGCCAGGAGATTAAATAATGGTTGTGTTCTCAAATTCTAGAAAAAAGGAAGAAGAACAACAAAACGACAGAGACGACAAAAAATACGAAGCCAGCCGCAAAAAAAAGAAAGAGATGGAAACCTTGGCTATTTATCGTGGTTACTGTATCAGTTGCGAAGCGCGAACGCAGTTGTGATCCCCTCTCATTACGCGTATAAACCTATCCAAGCTCTGTTTCGAGCCCACCCCCGGCTCATCAAATCTCTCATCACTCTAGCGTTGGTATCATTTTAGTCTGGAACAAGCTCTCTCTCTTTCTCTCTAATCTATGTGGGAAAACCCTGGCATGGATATTTCATGAGTCCAATGAGAACTAACTCAACCAGAAATCAATGCCACCGTAACGAAGACGAAAAAATCCTGAAGCAGCAGCCGAACCCACCCCAAAAAAGTTCGAGCACTTCCGTGTGTAATAGTTTTCAGTAAACAGATCGAATGCAAGAAGTACTGAGTTTTGCTTCGCAAGGTGAAGTACATGCGATGTCGGGTCAAGCAGTAATGATACAATAATCATCATTTAGTTATTAGTCTATTTCGCAAAACGTTAGTATTTCACAGCGAAATGACAATACTTTACCTAACCGACTTTCACTTAATGTCGAAGTCAATAATCGATATACTTGTTTAGATTATTCAGCTTATACGTGGTTGTTATATAACCGTTATTCGGTTTACGTTTCGACGTATTTATCTTCTTCAGCGGTGATGATCCGAGTCGATGGTCCAAAGTCATTCGTCCTCGCGTAGTGAGTCCTTGTAGTCTTATCGAGTCAAATTTTTTCGAGTAAGCACCGCTCGAATGAAGTTCAGTGATGTTGTTTTACACAAGAAGGTTGTTGACTGGCACTGATTATCGGCAATTAATTGTTCCTTTTCATGTCGACCTTCCATCCTGTAGATCCCATCGGACCATCGACTGGGACCAATCTGCTCTGAAGAATACGAAGACGTTGAAACATCCGAATAAAGGTTATAAGACAACTTTGTGTAAGCTGAATCATTTAAACAAATACGCTGGTATTTCACTCGGCCAGAGCAGTTAACTAAAAGTACCACAGCTATTACTATAAAATGAATAGAACAATTCCCACAACCGACTTTCTATTAGACTCGGCACTGATCAAACTTCGTTTTCTTGTTTAGCAAACACGAGGTGTCATTTTATTTCCTTATTTACACAAAAGTTGACGTTTCAGCGGATTTCACCTTCCTCAAAGCCTGGAAGGGTCAAGCTGAGCGCAATTTACACGGCCAAACACTTCCATAACCCCCGTTCAAAATCTTCCCCGTTACGTCTTTGTGTCCTATGCGTGTCTAGTAGAGTATTCGGTTTAAGTTTGTCCACAAGGTGTTCTTATATACGGACGCATAGTGGTCTATCCGTTTCGCCAATACATTCGTCCGCGTACGCTTTACAAGAGATCAGATAAACTGCACCCGAACTCATGAAATCACCGTCTCTACCGTTAATGCAAATTGTTCAATTTTGCGTCGCACATAGGCGGTCATACAGGCGGTTATGAACTAGGTGGCGTCTCAGAGTACTCAGTGGTATTTTTATGGTGACCGAATTCTTTAGACCGGCCCTTCTTAAGCAACGCTTTATAGCTGCGCTTATTTCATTTTAAATGAACGGCAGGATAAACAGGACCTTATTATCGCTTGAGATGTCGTTTGAGGACTTGGGTTTTCCTCTACACCTCTCCCGAGGAGCTGCAGGTTCGTAACCATTAGAAATGGCTACTTGGCGCGCTAAGTTCTGGGACACCTCCTTTTGCTGTCTTCCTGTGCACACACTCGTTGCTGCTCGAAACATGTTTCTTATAAACGTCCTTTTTGTGTGCGAGGGGTGAGTGGAGAAGTAACGAGCAAGCATGCTTTTACTGCTTGGCTTTCGGTAGGACTGCGTAATGTAACCGTATTCGTATACGTTCAAAAATGAAAGCCAGCTTTCTTTCGTTTTCTCTCGAGTACTCTGAATGTTCAATCAATAACTCAAAACATTTGCCCATTTCCCTTGTGTCGATCTCACGAAAAATCATTATATGCTCAGTAGGAACTCCTTGACTGTCCAAGGCTTTCATTACTGCTTCAGTTTCAACGGAGTCAAAAACTTTCTTTGAATCTCACGGTACTCTAGCGAGTCTTTTTATCGTGTGGATGTGGTCCATCGTACCGAATCCTTTTCGAAACCTTGCTTGCCCACATTACTCTCCTTCGTCCAGTACTCTGTCAGTCCTGTTAGGATGACTCGAGTGAAAATTTTGCAGACGACAGACAGTAAGTAGATTGGGCGATAGTTGCCGATATCGTTGAGGTCATCATTGTTAAACAATAGCATGGTCTTGCTGGTCTTTAACTGAGTAGGGACCTTGCATTCAGACAAGCAACGTGTGAATAGCCGAGCCAGTGTGTTCATGATGACTGGTGAAAGGTTCTTCAGGTGTTCAGATCCTATCCTGTCCGAACCTGGTGCTGCTCAATTTTCCACCGACGGAATATTATATCGCATTTCAGAAGGGAGAACCGCTGGTGTGACACATCCATCCTAAGTTATTTCATATGAGAGCAGAAGAACGTGGCTATTGAAGAAGTCTGAGTAGTAATCGAGGATGATTTTCCTCATTGCCTCAATGGAAGGGTTTCCGAATGCTTTTTCCAGTCTTTGCAGCTTCGACCATAACTGCTGCTCTTCTCTTTTTAAGATCTCCTTTTACTGATTGCCTACATTGTTTTGCAAGTTCGGATGTAAGTTGACAATTTCTTGTAGCTTGTGCGATTCCATGCTGGCGTAACAGCTCGGGTAATTCTGGAGACAGACATCTCTTGGTGACTTTGGAACTCTCAACTTTCATAGCGCTAACATAAAAATGTTGAACGAGCACATCATATTCTTCGCCGACGTCGAAAACGGCATCTTTCGGCAGCCGACTAATGAGCTAAACAAGTCCCAATTTAATGAAATAAAGTGTAATTCCGATAAATCCTCTCAACGGTTTACTGCCTCATCGTGGCTAGGAGGTACTCCTGGGTGTAGGACTGAAGTACAGCGAGAGATTCGTCCTTCCGGCAGTCTCCCGAGCTGAGAAGAAGTCCGCCGTCTCCATCAGGAAACCTAGCTAAGAGTAAACCAATACCTGGTTCCACCACCGTCTTGGTGTCAAAGCCGCATGGTGGCAAATCTCTCTCTGATCCACAAGGGCTGCGACTGTCTGTGATGGCGAAGACCTGGAGCAGACTTTGGCAAGGCTGACCCCGAGATTCCACGGAACCACAATGGCTTAGCAAGAAAATCTCCGAAAAATGGTGATTGTCCTGGGTCCCACACAACTAGTGAGGATGGGCCTTTCAAATTTCAAGTAATGCTGATAAATAATACAAAAAAATGACAATGGTGGCTTCAAAATGCTGCCCAAGTGTGCACACATTTTCATAAATTCGTCCTTTATACTTATTCGACTGGTTTAGGAATCACTATTAAATTCTTAGTCTGCAAAATCTAAAAATGCCTCAGCTATTAAGAGGAAAATAGAAAATGCATGAAAATGCCAGTACTTCAGTTGTTTGGAATGAAATCAGCAAGGCCCCACTTTGATTCAACAAAAAGTGCGCGAGGATCAGGAAAGTGCATTTCGAGAGCGTGACAGACCATAAGGATGCTGAGATATAAGCGTTATTCGGATTCTCAGTTGGGCTTCAAATACGCAATTACCTCTAGCACGTGCGCATGCGTTATCCACCACACCAACCGAGGATCTAACCTTGTCTATCTTTCAGCTAGTTTAAAAAAAAGAGAAAAAAGGCCTAAAATAAGGGTTAAAGGAGGTGGTGATTTTGACTGTAACTACAGCTTAACTGGGTTCAGTGCCAATTTATGCACACCGGTAAAGTGAAAATGTAGCTTAGAGAAGGGTAAAACGAGGCTCTCGGTGGATATGGTGGATAGTAAGTGAGCCCCGAAAGGTAACCGCGGACTCGAAGCAAAACTGAAGTCCCGAGTTTTGATCATAACTCAGCATCTTAGTGGTTCCTTTTCTCATAAGACCATCCCATGAAAGAGAATAGGCAGTAAATAAAAAGTTAAAACAGTCTGTACATGATGTTTAACGTTTTGTTTTCTGCCTTCTATAATTTTCATGGCAGGTTACCAAGCGAAATACAACCACAACGTTGCTGAGATATTTGCAAAACTCTGGAT